AGTTTTCTTCCTATGAGATTCAATTTCACACTTCTTTGAGGGTCTGCTAGATGGAATACATCGTGCCGGGCTCTGGGGTATAGTGGTGCCTTACCAAGGCAGACAGTCTGGGCCTTCACGGAGCTCTCGAGGGAGGCAGACCCCTCACTGGGCAGCTGGGAGACAGAAGATGGCAGGACACCTAGAAGAAACACTGGCCAGGTAGAGGGAGCCTCCTGTTGGAGGAGGGCCTGGGCTGAGCCCTCACAGGGAGGGAGAAGTGGAAGCCCAGAGGCAGACAGCACAGCCACAGTGCTGGAAGCCCACACAGAGGGCAGGTCAGGAAAACAAAGCTGGCAGGCCTTGGTGGTCAAGATGAGACATCAGCCGTAAGCCCAGAAAGGTTCAGGCAGAGGCGTGATGGGATGCGAGCTGAGGCTCAGGGACATCACAATGGCTGCTGAGTGGGCAGTGATGCAGTGGGTGCATCTCCTGTCCACAGCCAAAAGCTATGCCTTTTTATTATTACTAAAAGCAAACACCTTGACTTCCTGTTTTATAATTCAGGGTTTCCAGAAACTAGAGCACATCTGCGAGCAAGGCGTGCTGGCTGGCAACACAGTGGTTTTATCCCACAAGGGTTCATAATGCTCCCCCTGCTGGCTTAGAGAAGGGAGAAAGCCAAGACACAGAGACCACCAGCCCCGGCCTCCTAGTGCCCACTGTACCTTGGACACTTGCCGAGTTTGTTGCGTGTGAGCATATACTGAAAACCCTGATTACATAACACCTTTCATTAAAACACATGAAATATACCGCGAGGGATAAAGAGTAAAAGCCACCACAGTCACACTGGACTGAGTCCTTTTCCATTTAACACATTGCTAGGCTTTTCCTTTGCCTTGAACATTGTTGTTAAAGGCCGCTGCGGGAGTGAATATGCCATCTTCTCATAATTAATCCCTGTTGAAAAAATTAATCCCTATTGATACCTGTTTTGCTTCTCATTTCTCAGTATCAGGATGCTGTGTGGTGATGAAAATCTTTGCACAGTATACTTTAACACACATTTCTGGTTACTTCCTGAAAAGAAAGTAACCTCCAGACGTGGAATCAGCCTCTGCCTGTAGCTACTCGGCACCAATCCCCCCCTCCCCCATACACTTTGTTTTGGGCTTTGAAAGCAAATGGTAAATGAAGCAACCCTAGCCTGGTGCGGCCCACTGCAGGGGATGGGGAAGCCCGTGCTGGTCTGACTGCTCTGGCCTAAGGACAACACTCCACAAGCAGCTACCAAGGGTTTCTTTGGAAGCAAGTCCTTTCCGCTCTCATCTAAGCTGGAGGGAAATCTGAGACACAAGGCTAAGCAGGGAGCAGAGGGACAGAGACTGTGTGGTAGAAATACCAAACACCCGGCCCACCCAAGCCTGTCCTGGAGCTGGGCTGTCACCTAAGTACAAAGCCCTGGGGGGAGGGGGAGGGAGCTCAGGGGTGGCACAGCGGCAGCCACTCAGTACACACGGAGGACTGGGAGGGAGCCTGTGTCATAAGCCAACCCCATGTCTAAGAACCTGTCACAGAGCCTGCAGACGGCACAAGTGGAGAGCAACCTGGAGACAACATAAGCCATTCAGGGGAAATATGTGCAGCAGCCAGGCGACCTTTCAGGTATCCTGGTAAATGGATGGAGCCTTATCTCAATTTGCAGTTTTCTTCTCGGGAAAATCTCTTCCTTTACTGTTAACCAATGTTGCTTATCCTGGGGCCAGCTGAGAGCAACATTAATGTTTCTGAGCACTTGCCCTGTGCCAGGCCCTGAGCAATCCCCCTTGGCCTGTTTTACCCTCACAATACCCTGTGAGGACAGAGAGGAGGGGACTTGCCCCAGGGCCTCCTTGGTGGTAGGGCTGGGGCCCTGAGCTGGTCAAAGGAGCAGTGTCCCGAGTCCCCCCAGATGGGAGATCTGCCCTCAAGGAAGGCCACTCTAGTCAGCAAGTGGGTCTGTCCCATACTCATACAAACTGAGGTAAATGCTCCTGGAGAGCTAGGCATGGTGGCTCACGCCTATAATCACAGCACTCAAGAGGCTGAGGCAGGATGATCACTCCAAGTTCAAGGCCAGACTGGGCTGCATGGTGAGTTCAGGACCAGTCTTAACTACCTCGTTGAGACCCCATCTCAAAAATACAAAACAAGTAACCACATACTCCTGGAGACACGTGTCAGGACCTAGACTAGGTGTGGACACTGGTCAGGGAAGGTTTTGCAGCAAAGGAGGGAGAGAAAGACAAGAGACGTGAAGGTCTTCCAGGCAAAAGAAACGGTACACAAAGGCCCTGAGCAGAAACGCAGGAGTGAGGAACCTCAAAACAGTCTGCTATGGTCAGAAGAAAAGGGACTGCCATGTAAGAACTCAGTGTTCACCTCCAGGGCCACTGGTGGCTTCAAACAAGGAGTGACATCTAAGTAGGTGCCCATCTTTCCCCAGCTGGTCCACCTCAGCCCATCAGTCCCCAGGGCAGATCTGCTTAACTGTATACCCTTTAACCTGTCTCCCGGAGACCACATTCCCACAGCCCCGGGGTTCACTGTCTGACCCAGACTCCACTTTCTAACAATGTGGTAAAAATTAGGGCTCCTCATGTTATCCAAAAAGGATTTTTCACCAGGTATGGTGGTGCATGCCTGCAATCCCAACACTCAGAAGGCTGAGGCAGGAGGATCACGATGAGTTCAAGGCCAGCCTGAACTACATAGCAAGACCCTGTCTCAAACTACAAACAAAATAAAAGGATTTTCCTCACTAATAGTATGAGCTACAAATTTTTTTTTTTGGTAGCAGGGATCAAACTCGGGATCCTGAACTTTCAAGGCAGGTAGCGGAACCACTGAGTCAAAATCCCCGGCCCACAACTTCTATTTTTAATGAAATATTTTAAAAATGTATTTAAATTCCTGTTATTAAAATGAAATTCTTCAAATTGAGTTTCTTCATGTCAGGATGCATTTCTTAAACTCTGAACCAGATTTACTCTCAACAGGCAAAGACAAACTCTGCTATCAATGACTCAAGACACTGTGTTGTTTCTTTTTTTTTGGTACAGGGGCTCAAACTCAGGACCTTGCACTTTCAAGGCAGGCAGCAGAACCACTGAGCTAAATCCCCAGTCCCACTGTGTTGGTTCTTAAAGTCCTTCCTTCCCCTTAAGCTACATGGAGGGGACATGGCCTGATTGGGAGCAAGGATGCTCACGTCAGATGCTTCAGCCTCAGGGTTGCCAATTCCTTGCCTGAAGCCTTGACAAAGCTGCCCAACTTGGGGGCCTCAGAATCTCAAAAATGATGCAGTGATTCCTTCCACACAAGGTGCTGGTGAGAAAGGGGGCAACGGTCGGCACAGAAACCAACAGTACTGAAACTCAGGTGGTCCACACCACTTCCTCCTCCACCACCCACTTCACGGGGCAGCTTTATGTCGCCTTTGACCAAGCAGACCTTTTCAAGTCCACCTCTACCTGGACAGCCAGACCTCTACTGAGAGGACACAGGAGCTGTGCCGCTGGCCAGCCCCAGCCAGGGGAGGAGTTGCAAGAACACACTGCGGTAAAATGGGGACAGTCAGATTACCTGCCCAAAAGCGTGGCTTCGGAGATAAATGAGATCATGCACATAAAGCTTGATGCTCAAACGTCTGCTCCTAAAATAAGGAGAAATGACAGAGACCATGACAAAGAGATCAATGGGCGAAATGACAAGCAGTCATTTCCATTTTTCCAAGCAGTCTTAGATAAATATGAACTAAAAAAGGGGCTATACCAAGGTGAGAGACAAGAACTTGTTGGAATTTCCCCCTGGGTGATTAACAGTGCTTCTAGAAAAGGTGGGTTTTGGAAGGGGGAGCAGGGGTTGTGTGGTACTGGGGACTGAACCCATAGCCTTCACCCTGAGCTACAACCCCAGCCCTTTCTTATTTTGAGTCAGGTCTCACTAAGTCACTGAGTTGCCCAGGGCTGGGCTCAAACTTGTGATCCTCCTGCCTCAGCCTCCCAGTGCTGGGATTATAAGCCTATGCCACCACAACCAGCTGCAAAGTTGTTTTTTAACCACTCTCTTGGTTTCATTGGCTCCCAAAAAAGGTTGCAAGACCTCAGCACATAACAATCTCAAGTGAATGAGAGGAGAAAAAAAACAAGAAAAATCCAATTATTACAAATCTTACGTTCTTAAGACCCAAAATTTAGACCATATCCTTTATGAGCAATAGCCAAAGGGCTTGTATTCTGTGTCATTGCTGTTTCTTAATACCTATGGTTCTCTCCTGGATACCTGTCATTTTCGGAGCACTGGCGTGCCACGTTATATAGTCCAGGCTGGCCTTGAACTCATTCACTCTGTCGCCTAGGCTGGCCTCAAACTTGCTGCAATCCTCCTGCCTCAGCCTCTCAAGTGCTGAGATTACAGGTATCCACCACTACACCCAGCTGTTGTAGCAACATTTTATACTTATATGTAGTTTAATTCATCACCCTCTGAAATACAGCATATGGCCCATTTTACTGATGGGAAACTGAGGACCAGAGTCTTACAGTCACAGGTCACAGAGACGGTAGCAGGGCTAGAAATTGAACCCTAAGTTGATGGGCACCAAGGTGACCTTGCAGAGCATGGAGCACACACAGGTGGGAGAGAAAGCCTGGCAGAATGAGCAGACATCGCTTTTTCTAACTTGTGTGTGGCTGCCAAATTTCAGTGTCTTTTGTCAATTTCTGTAAAGTCCACTGGTTCTGAGAATCAAATTTCTTCTATCTGTAAGTAACCGTGTCACTGAAGAGGCCTCCAGACACCACACAGGTGACGGCCACTGCTCACTGCAGGCCGAGGTAAGTGGATCAGGGCAGTGGGGTTCTCTTCTCTAAGGGGGCGGGGAATCTTGTCACCCTCTTCTCGTCCTGAGGAGGAGCCCTGACAACTGTACCAGAGCCCCAGGTAGGAAACAGGACAGATGTTTAAATAATCAACAGTGAGAGTCTTAAAACATTTTATTTGATACAGAAATTCTAAAGTACAAAAACATTTTGCAAACGTCAGCTGTGGTTTACTATCCTCTATTTACAGAGTTATGCACAAATCGTATGTTACTAACATTTCCAATGTAAAAATACAGCACACTGCTATAGTCTGTCAGTGCTCACTATTCCACCAAATCCCACAAAGGACAAATTTAGAGACGAGAAACAAAAACAATGACACCGATAACCATTGTGCTCCAGGGGCTTTCCCCCTAAGATGGAAAACAGGGACCTTCCACAGTGAAACTTTTCTTTTTTAATAGTGAAAACCTAAGTTACTTATTCTCAAAATGAACACATTTGGTTTTTACAGAAACTTTTGCTGCTGTCCAGACTTGTGGAGGAAAAAAATACACCAAAAAACAACAACAGAATTTTTTTATAACAGATAAACACATTAATGACATCCAGTGGAACTTTTGGCCTAACTATGGGAGCAGTTACTTTTGACTACATCTGGCAGGACTGCTCCTTGGAATCTTCGTGACTGAAATTTTCCATGGTGTAAACGTCAGGCATGGATGTGTGCACTGGCAGACTTGATTGTGCGGAGGACAGCACCTGGCCACCTGAGAGCCATGGCTCCAGCCCTTTAGAACATGGAAAGGTCTTCTTGCGGTGTCTATGGTCCCAGATGAACCTTGGGGAGGAACCAAAGGGTAGGCAGGAGACAACTGGCCAAAGCCGCCCAAGGTCCTCACTGGGGGATTCAAACACATTTGCAAGTTAGCCCCCGAACAGCATCAGGAAGGTGGCACTTGGCAACTGCTGCTGTCCCTTCTCCAGTGGTTACACTGAAGTAACAATATCCAAAGTCTCAAAAACTTTACATGTCTCTAGATATGGAGATACAGAATCCAAACTTGTAAGGGTGGGGTAGCTGCCACTCAGACGGTAGAGCTGGTCTCGAGTATCCTGAAGCTTCAGAATGACATTAAACACATCAGAAGTAAGCACCACGTGTTTGCCCTCTGCAGGGAAAATAAAGCACAAGATAGGACAGAGGACAATCACCAAGGTGGGGTGGAGCAACGTGTGGCTTCTCACAAGGACTCTAAGTGACACAACATTTTTAAGAAGTACCACTTTGCTTCCACCTAGTAAGAGAAGCCAGGCACATAGGAATCTCCCAGTAACCCTACCCTGAGCTTAGCAGTTACAAGGCACCAAAGTGCATAAGGCACCAATGGTTTTGTTTGGGCACCTAAACGAGTGTGAAGCTGAGAAACAACAGAGCAGTGAAAATCATTAAGCCACTGGAAAATAGGGGCTGTGAAGAACAGTTAAGTGGGTGGGATTATTTACCACTGAAATAAAAACTCCAGGGGGATGACTTCACCGTGATTTTCAAATACACAGGAGGTGACCAGCTGTTCTTTCTCCACTACACCCTGAACAAAAGAAAGCTGGTTTGAATTTCTAGAAGGAGGATACACAAAGAACTATCTGATCAGCAGGGTAGGTTACAAAATCTTCTTCACTGAAAATCCAGACCCTCACCCACAGCCACACGTCTGGGCTAATTTCAGGCACAGTTCCTTGACACCAAGGAAGGAACATGCTAGCCCCGCATTCTGAAATCGGGTCAAAGCTATTGGCTTACAGTCTGACTTCCTTTTATTTATTCTCACTGTGGGCCTGGACAGGTGATATGGCAACAGTGACCCAACACCCGTGGGGACTCCTCATATTTCAGCATCGGACTTGTGTCTACTGCCTCTCACCTCCAAAACACAACTCACAGGTCATTTAAGAGAAGATAATGTAGACTCCTGAGCCTACTAGAACTAGATTTTCTGCTTCATTTTCCAAAATGCCTCTTTTCCTAGATAGGTCTTGGCCTAAGCTCAAAATTACATGCCATCTATTAAAAAAATTATGTTGAGAGCTAACCGATAAATAAGGCCCTGGACTACAGGTTGTAGAGTTTAAATGAAATTCTTAAAAAAGAAAAAAAAGAAATTGTTCTAAGCATTGTATTTTTTATATTGGAAGAATATAAATCTGTCTTAGAAATTAGCACATAACTTGTCTTTCTTTTATGTATTGCAAACATGTAGTGATAAAAATAAAAATTTTTAAAAGACATTACAAAGTGTAAGGGAAGCAATCAAAACATTCCAAATGCATTTCAGAATCCCATGAAATTTCTTTGAAGGAGAGAAAGAATCCAGCTACTGGCTGCATTTAGCAACAGCATTTCCTGATGGCAGCCAACATTTGTTAATTATTGGAGGTTGGCTTCAAATCTTTTAAAGCAGAAATCACAAACTGGCAACCAGTGGGCCAAATTAGGTCCATCTATGTGTTCTGTTGGTCCTGAATTCACTTTAAATACTTTAAAATTTTAGTTGCTAATATATAAAATAAAAAGAAATTTTCAGCTTCTCCTGAGAAATGGGTGTATCAGGAAATGTCTGGCTATGCTGGCTGTAGCAGCTGCCACCTGTGAGACACACAGGCACTCTTGGGTCTGCCATGGGCTCACTGTGCCTGATCGTCCCTGACGATGAGGAGAGACGCAGCCATTTGTCACCACACAGCTGCTTCCCTTATGCTTGGTGGCCCCTGAAGGCACAGGATCTGCTAAACAGAGCACCAGAAAAACCTAGTGATCTTCACACTGGCATTGCCCACTTCTCCAATAAAGACAGTGTGATTCTCTCTTCTTGAGAAGGTTGGGGTGCTAGGGGCTGCAGGATTTTCTTTCTTTTGGGAGGAAGTGTGTGTCATTTCTTCATCAAGAATAAAATAGCTTTTTTCCCTTTTTGTTTCTTTTAAAAGAAAAAATATTCAACGCAAGGATAAAAATCTCTCAAAATCACATTACTCTACATTTTTAGAGGAATGTTGTAATACGTTCCTGTTTAGTTGCACATAAATCAGGGGACCTGAAACTATGGGCCGGTAAAACACAAAGCCAAAAACTGGTGTTGCTTGGAATAGCAAGATTGAACTTTGACAAACATATGTGACCTTAAATATCTATAACTTACTACTATACACTCATTCCAATGATAGCACGTTGCTAAAGACATGATCTGGGACTGTCTTCGGTTAATACTAACATGTTAACAGAACTCCCATTATGGCCCAATCTCCTTGTGGCTCAAAATACTGTATTACCTAGTGTAGTCTGAAGCCAAATACCTGGGCCGGCACTACAATGCCTTGTTATTCTTTCTGGAGATCCATGTGCCTCCGAGCCCCAAGTCTCAGACCTCTGGAAAGCAAGCTCCTGCATTCCACATGGGTGGGCAGGCCCGCCAAGGAAGTCTGTTACTTACAGCCAACTTCTCAGAGCACAGCACACACTCATCTGGGCTTTCACTACCTCAATCACTCTCCCAATAAAGCTGACAGCGTCAGATGCTAAATCCTTTCCCAGAAATATTGATGAATTAAGGTGAAAAACTAGCTCCGGGCCGTCAGCCTTAGTTTTCTGGAGCCCTGGTTTCCTTTCCAGAGGATAACATCAAACTTACCCACACGTTTACTCTCAGATCAAGCCCTTCCACTGAAATCACTGCTATAATCTAATCGCTGCTTCCCCAATATCTAGAAACCAGAACCCTTTTCTGGATTCCATCTTATCATTTCCACTGTCTGTGACATTTTCTGAGTAAAAATACGGAGCTCTGCTTGGAACAGAGGTTTTGCCTTAATCTCCAAGACAACTCCTCCCACTCCCAGCACAATGGGGAGTGTGGGAAAATAGCACAACTAATGAAGCAAAAGTAGGAGGTCAGACTTAACATGCAACACATTCTGAGCTAGGGAATCATACAGCACTTTCAGTATTTGGCCTGTTAAGAGTTTGAGTTTGTTGATTAGACACACTAATACTTCAAAATAAGAATCCAAACCCTAAGTCCAAACTGAAACATCACCTTTAGAACTCAGTCCCTGCCATTTCCCTTCCGAGGGAATCCATGCCGTAAGCCCAGACCCTTGGGACTCAGTTAATGCTCCTCTCCTCCCAGTCCTGCAGGCTGTCTCTGGAGACATGTTCTCAAAGATGTCTCATTTCACATGAAAAGACGAGTATCTATGCTAAAAGCAGCCCCTAATGGTTCCTCTGGGGGCACAAAACCATCTCTTAGACTCTGTAAATCTCTGATAATGTTTCGAGTGAATTTTTGTATGTTAGCAAGTTCAGACCCACCAATCTCTTTCACAGAATGTATAACAAGGCTGGAAGCACAGGATGGTCTTACACGGACAGGGGCTCTGCACTTTGTCCTGGAGAGCATGGTGACAACATGGACTATCTCTCCTCTACCAACATGCCTGGTCTTATGGGGAGACAGGCTTCCAGCTCACTGTCGCTCCCTCAGAGCAGCTGCAGGAAACTTGATGCCAGAGAACAGACGAGCACGTTCTTCTCCCAAAAGGCTGCCAGCTGCCTTTACAGAACAGGGAGTAGGGCATTTGCATCCAAAATACACACAAAACCTCTTCTTTCCAGCAAGACTGCAAGCTTTCCCCTTCTCCACCTGCTCAGCCTGTGATCGGGAGGGAAAGTCCAGTCCCATCCCCACTCCCACCCCACCTTGGGATGTTTTTCAGCATCTTCCAAAAACTAAGGTCCCTGGGTTGACTGCTGAGGAGACAGGCTGCCAAAACCCAACAGCATCCATTAAGGAGGGAGGAGAAAGATACCCATGCGTGCTCCAGGGCAGAGGGAGGACGAGGGCTTCCACATAGGAGACTGAGACATCTCGACACACGTGTTAAACAAATGGAATATGAACAAATGTTTTCCCTTTGGAAACAAATTTGATTTTTTTTTTACAAGTCATTCATAAAAATAGAACATTTACTTTTATGGCAGTTCTCTCCTTTCGACCTTCTTAAAAAGAGGCCTGTCATCAGTCAAAACCGGTTCAGCAGATTATTGGCCACCACCTCCATATACTGCTGCATTTCAATGAATTCTCATCTCTAATATGCAGGACACAGGTTTAGGCCCCAAGGCAACTGAAGCACGAACTCAACTTCGAATAATACGGCGCAGCTGGGAAACAGTCTCTTAAAATAAGACACCATCATATGAGCTGCAGCACAGTAAATGTAACCCAGGGAAACTTGACAGACATGCTGCCTACTCAGACCAAGAGAAAGCTGAGATGGAATGGTCAGGATGTAACCATTGTCACAATGCTGGGACCCCCACCTTAGCCAGCCAAGTCACCCGGTAACATGTAAAGACTCATTTTTCAGAAAGGTACACTGAATAATCAGTCACTTTCTTGACCTTTGACTCAAGGCTTATTTAATACCCGTGGCATTGTTAAGTTCCACACTGAAACCAGATAGGAACATCATCTATAATACCACATGGATTCCAGCGAGACTGGCACTTAATTTCTGTGGCTATAATGACACTACAAGTATTTTTTCCACACAGCATTCCAAACCAAAGTAGCAAACAGTAAACAGGCAAAGTATGCAGAGGTCAATAAAGTCGGAATGATCAGGGCAGGTATTGTCCTGTTTCTGTTTCCTCCTACCTGCCAGAATAGGCTCTGGTGCAAGGACTGACCTAACAGAGCAAGCTGCTCCTGGACCTCACAGACGTGCCTTTCAGGGCTCTGTGTATGGTTTTAGCAAACTGGAGACGTTGCCAAGATAGCTGGGGCTGGGGGCCAAGTACTGGCTAGATTTTCACCCTAAATACCCTTGCATGAGTACTCAGCTCCAAGGAGGTGATGCAACCACAGAGATGAGCTGGAGAGCCAGAGGCGGCAGCTAAAGTGGCAATGCTTAGGCTCTTCCATTTTGCTACAAAAGGGCGACGGCGTGGAGTTCATCAGTGTAGCTGAGGCAACCAAGTTCTGCTTTCCACACCCCAGAGGCAAGGAGCTTGGATGGAAGGATAGGAGGATCCTCCTCACCTAAGGAGAGAAGACAGGACAGAGCCACACGGTCACTGAATTTCACTGGGCAGACGGTACTGCCAGAGTGGTGGATCTGAATTTAGGCTTTGCACAAATGAGGCAGGCTCCCAAACCAGCTCGCGATGCGGAACCCCAAGCTCTTAACAGGTTCTAGTTCCCCATCTTCCTGGAGGGTCAAGGGTCTGCATGCCTGACAGGATATGCTGCTGGAGCTCTCTTGGGAAGTGGATCCTCCTACAGAGCCTTTTTCTTTTTTGTTTAATTAAATAACTTTATAGAAAAATGTTTACTAAGGGATCAATTTTAGTTTGGGGAGTTCTTTTTTTTTTGAGGCACGATCTCTCTGTATAGCCTAGGCTGGCCTCGAACTTGCAGCAATCCTCCTGCCTCAGCCTCCCAAGTGGTGGAATTATAAGCATCTGCCACCATGCTGAGCTAGCCCTTCTATCTATGGGCTTGTGCTAAGCAAAGAAGAAGAAAATTCTGTACCCATGAATTTCAAGCTCAATAGATGTAGCTGTTTTTTTGTTTTTGTTTTGTTTTTTTTGGTACCAGGGATTGAACTCAGGACCTTGTGCTTGCAAGGCAGGTGGCAGAACCACTGAGCTAAATCCCCAGCCCAACAGATGTAGTTTTTAAAACAAGAAGAGGGTGGGCCAGGGATTTAGCTCAGTGGTTCCACCGCCTGCCTCACAAGCCGAGGGACCTGAGTTTGATCCCTGGCACCAAAACAAACAAAAAAAAACCAAGAGGGTAAACACTACAGGTCTCAATAAAGACATACCTCTTTACACCCAAATGTATTTTGGTAATCCAATATTTTTGGAGTTCAGAAAGGCCATATAGTGCACATTCTATATGTTACAGAACACCCCTGGCCAGGTCTGGGCAGTTCACCATAATGTAGCATCAGTATTTCCGCAGCTCAAACACCCAAATATTCGTGTTACCTGGGGTATGCTTAGACTATCAAATGAGTGATACTTTTTTTTTTTGGTACCGGGGATCGAACTTGGGTCCTTGCGCTTGCGCAGCAGGCAGCAAAGCCACTGAGCTAAATCCCCGGCCCAAATGAGTGATACATCTCATCAACTTTCACTCTCCAGTAAATCGGCACCAAAATTCGAAAAATGCCTTGACAGGTTGTAGATACGTAAGGAGAATGTCAGGAACCTGCCCGGATGGCACCTTACCCAGGCCTGAGGAGGAGGACACGCTCTCCGTTAGGGATGATGTTTCCGTCCGGTCTGCAGAGAGCCCCTCCATCAGAGGCAGAGAGATCTCCGAGGAGGGCACGGAGGAATCATAGATGCCCGAGTCCCTTGGCATGTCCGAAGGGCCGCCAGCTTTCACTGTAAGTAGCAGGGGCTGCAGGGCAGAGACCCCATCATGGGGTGCCTGGACCTCAGCATCCTGGTCCAAGCCGCCAGGCGGACTCTCTGGCTGTGGGTGAGAGTCTCCAGACACTGTGGCCCCAAGAACAGCAGCCTCAGCCTTTAGGCAGAAATCACCCTCTGGCCCTGGTTTGCCAATGACATCGTTTAAAACTAAGCCTGAGTCAAACTTCTCTAGGACTGGCTCTCGATAGCGCAGTGCAGGAGGATGGAAGGGTACAAACTGCTTTTCAAACCAATCAGGTTCCTCATCAATAAACTGGTGCATGTTACATATAGCAACATACAGAGAGCGGCCTGACTTGCTCCGAAAGTAGTTCCTTCTACTTCCAGGTCCTGGGTGCTGCCCAGGCTCCTGGACATTGTAGTCTCCCGAGTGCAGGTGGGAACAGAGCTGGGGAAGGTTGTCCATAAGTTTGTATTTGGTGCTGAGGTCCAGAATGCAGGGGATGTCTCCCTCACAGGAATAATCAAAGTAGACAGTGATGAACTTGCTGAGTGCTGCAGATGAACTCTGCTTGGCTTGGCGGAGCTTTTCAGCAATGGCAGATACCGCCATTAGGAAGAGCTCCCCTTTCCCTGAACCTAGGCTGCCTCCTTTGTGTTTGTAGTTCTTCTTGTCCACAAAGTATTTCATGCCTTTGGAACACACTATAATGATGAACTGGGACTCGTGGATTTTCTGGATGACCCATTCTCTCTGCCCTTCTCTGCAGAGACTGAAGTCTTCCCAAAGATCCAGAGCCACCTGATAGGAAACAAGACATCTTCTCATCTGCACCAACACTCAGGAATAAGAATTGGGTAGGAAGAATGAATGTTAACGGAGGTCACATCACCTGTCCCTGAACCATTATCTGCATAGTGTGTGGTGCCTCTGGGTTACCCAGTAATGTGTGGAGGAACAGCTAAGTTTCTGTGGTGAGGGTCACACGCCAAACCCTCTGCAGACGCTTGCCATCCATCGGCTCATTTTAGCATCACGTGGGGTTGTTACATGTATGCTGACTTATGTATGCTGCCCTATCAGTGAAGACAGAAGCACAGGACTTTTATTAACTTGTCAAAGTCACAGAGGGAGCCCTCTAGGAACCCACAGTGTTGTGGAGAACACAGAATAGGAAGGAAGTGGGACTGCTGTGTATTATGAATAAGGCAGCCAGATGCAAGGAGCAGGTCCTGGAAGGCAGGCTGGCAGGTTTTGAGAGGACACAGATGAATGACTCCAAAGTGCGCTGGGACATGGGGCTCAGGTTTGGATGCCAAGTCACCCACAATGCTAGGTGACTCACACCGTCAGTGTGACTGACAAAGTGGACTTCTCTGGACACTCACAGACCTGGGGTGAGCCATATGGTTTACCAGCTGGTCAGTGCTGGAGAGGGCAGTGAGTGGTTGTTGCAACACAGCTCTTCTGCTTAACACTCCAGGATGGCCAGCACCTCCTCCATGGCTTCGCAGGTCTCACAGGGGAAAGAGACCCTGAAATGGCTTTGTTTCCTTTTCTGCTCTAAGATGTTTCTAAAGGAAAGAATGCCCTGATATCCATCCACTGGGTTAAAATACGCTTGAACTGTCTATTTCCGTAGTTCTTGCTAATAGTGTACAAGCTTAAGCTAATTGGGAGAATATACCAAGCATTTAAAAAAAAAAAATTCTTATCTTGAATCAGCAATTTCATTCCCAGCCATTTATCCATGGGAAATCATTAGGAATGGGGCAATACTGAACTACTAATAATGTAATAATTTGGACTACCTCAGTTATGCTAAGTCAATATTACAGATCGTGTTGCTTTAACAATGGCATTAGCCTAGAACCACTAATAGTGTAGAAAATCATTAATAGAAATAAATCATTCCAGTCTGCCCAAAATGAACATTTGTATGTGTGATTTCATTTATGCAGAAAAGGACTGGGAAGAAACACCAAATGTGTCTGTACTGTCTGAGACAGTGTGTGCCACCGGACTGAGTCTGCAGTTGTTTTCCAGCAGGCGCTGATCTGCCAAGCTCATGGCACAGGGAGCGGGGAACAGGATCAGCCCTCGTGCTTTTTATTGACACCAGAGGGCAGTCTCAGCACATGGAGAGAGTCTGAGAAACTGCAAGTAACAGGGAAGGGAGGGAAAGGGGATGAAAAACGGAATTAAAATGTGTTGTGTGCATGCACCAACTTCACACAAGGAGTGCAAACATTATGTATTGCAAACATGGACTGATTAAAAAAAGTACAAATAACATTCAATACCTAATTGTTATATAACTGTTGCATTTGTAATAAACTGCTATGGCTTCCATGATAGCTTCAGACCTCACTCTAAAAATTAGTATGATATGACAGAAGAGCTACACATGAATAGCAAACTCAAGAATGGCTAAGGGGGGCCGGGGATTTAGCTCAGTGGTTTCACCGCCTGCTGCGCAAGCACAAGGACCCGAGTTCAATCCCTGGTACCAAAAAAAAAAAAAAAAAGAATGGCTAAGAGGCCAGGGATTGAGCTCAGTGGTGCCACCGCCTGCCTCACAAGCACCTCCCTTCTTCCCTCCTGCTGGTCCTGCACTACTGCCTTCTCCTAAACCACTGGTTTTCCCTTTCCGTGACTTCAACCTTACAAACAGACCTGTCTGTTAAACTTTTCTCCTGGTCCTCAAGAATTCTTTCAGGACAAAGACCATCTCCCATTCCCCTTCTCAGTAACAACCCCCCCCAACCCGCCCCACCTCAAGAATCATCCTCCTGTCATTCTGTCTCTGACTCTCCTCCACTAGGGCTTCTGTCCTGCACATGCCTACCAGGATAGCTACAGTGACTCCCCAACCAGCACCCTGGTTTACATGTTCCCAAGGCAGGCAATCAGTTTTTAGTTTTATTTCTTAATACTCACAAAAGCTCCTGCCATGTGGGTACCAATCAAGGTTTTTGAACAGGACTATGTCAAGGTTAAAAACCAAGTTATAAAACACTTAGGGCATGGGATCCAGAGGACAGACTGAAGAAGAAACTGGCACTAATCAAAGCCAGGTGTCACACAGCAGCCCTGGAGAGAGAAAACGGTAAGGAGAGAATAGGGATCACTGCCCAGGGCGAGAGACTTTATTAAATTCTGTACCTCACAGCCGCAGAAGTCCTGGAGGAAGTAGGCAAAACACTGGACAACATTGATGTGATTCTGGCCATCTTTACTGGAATAGCAGAGGAAGACCTTTGGCCGAGGCCGGAGCCTCTCTCGGGGGACTGCTGCAGTATACGTGGAGGACTCAGAGCTCTCTTCATCTAAATGTGAATATATATTTTCTAAATTGGGAAAGAAGATAGGATTGACACCTATGAACAGAGCTTTGTCTTGTCCCATGACGTGGAGCATCAGAAAGCCAAATCTGTTCTTAAATCTGAAGTTGACCTTGGAGAAGCTAAGAACTGCCCAGAACTGGCTCTTGCAATCAAATACACCACTCGAGGGTCGGGGATTTAGCTCAGTGGTTCCGGTGCCTGCCTCGAAAGTGCAAGGACCTGAGTTCGATCCCCGGTACCAAAAAAAAAGAAAGAAACTGCCAAATACACCACTAGACAAATTAAGCATTGGCAGAGCTGACCTTTAAAAGGAAAAGAAAAAAAGGAGCCGGGCATGGTGGTACATGCCTATAATTCGAGCACTCAGGAGGCTGAGGCAGGAAAATCACCACAAGTTCAAGGCCAGCCTGGGTGACACAGTAAGTTCAAGGACAGCCTGGAATAGAGAGCAAGACCCTGTCTCAAAAAAAAAAAAAAAAAAGGTAAAATATACAAATCCTCTTTTCTTTTCTTTCTTTAAGACAAAGTTTCATTATGTTGCCAAGGCTGGCCTCCAACTCCTGGCCTCAAGTGACCCTTCTGCCTCAGCTTTCTAAGTGCCTAGGACCATAGGTGGCATCATTGTGCCCAGCTAAGGGCATAGATCTTAAGGGTCTCACATGACGTCTGACTTATGTATATCAATCCCTCCCTGTCTCCCTCCCCATGCTTTAGACTTCCTTTATGCCCTTGATTATTATCTTACATTTGAGAATTAAGTCGCACCTATCCTTTTAGTGGCTCCTGAGATCTCAAGTCAAATATTTTTATTCTGAGAACTACAGTAGGCAGGGCACTGACGGGGTGCTCCGAGGCTTCCCGGGTGCCCTCCACCGGCCTCTCTGTGGCGCCAACCCCTGGCCTGCCCCTGTGGGGGGAACGCAGCACACAAAGAGATACCTTGTTGCTTCTTGCGGCACATCACAGTGAACAGCGTCGCAAATGCTGATAAGACAACCAGCGGCACGGTGATGGCCACGGCTCTGATGGGCCCGGCCCATGGGGAATGCGCTGGGAAATTTCAAAGGGAAAGCTTTTAAATTTAAGCAGCAGAACAGGTTCAAAGAGGAGTAACTTTTTTTTCTTTTTCAACGTAAGCCAACTGACAGGTTCTAGGACCCCAAAAACCACCTTTCTCTAAGGCTGGTGTGGTGATTATGAAAGAATTCAATGGTTCCTTTTTAAAGGGCTGGAGCAAATAATACAATAGTTCAGAGACTGCTGAGACAGTAAATACCTTTGAGAGAGAATTTTGCCTAAGGAAACCTCTCCTCCCACCACTTTTCTCCAAGGACAATCGACTATTTAATCCCAGTGACAGACACCATACTGGCTTTGATCTTCCAGGCAGCAACGTGAAGGGAGAAGGAAATTCAGTCTGATGGAACATAGTTTAAGAGGGAGGAGCTGCATTTTATTTTGTTTTTGCAAACCATACAGAGATACCTTAGTCTACACTAGTCCAGAGCCAAAATTTCAAAGTAATTCTCACCTGGTTTTAGAGCATAATGCACCACCTTTCTTGTTGTGTTAGTGTCATCTACCAGCTGCAAAACAGAGGATGCTGTATTATTTTTTAAGTGATAGCACCCCAACAGCCTGTGTCTACCAGTTCAGTGCAAAAAAATGGCCATGTCCACGCGTGTTTTCACCAGTGAGCAGTAGAGGGAATGTGGTGGAGTGGGTACAGAGGCTGAGGGCAGGGCTGTTGGACCTGAAATCATCTGCCAGGCTAAGACCAGGCATCCAGACATTTGGGTTCATCTTCTCTTTATAGATTCAAAATCCTAATCTTCATTACACTTCCTTTCATGAGTCAAAAGCCTGTTAGTTAACTGAAGAATTCAGCTAGTGAATCCCACACTGGAACAATTTCTGATTAAAGTGGCATCCTACCACCAATTTTTTGCTCCACGAATTCTTTAAGGTGCGCTGTAAGGCGAGTCAGCCCCAAATCACACACTGGTACCAAGGAATGCAAGATTTGGGCATTTCTACCAAAATGTTAAGACATACTCATTGTCTTTGAATAGCGGGGGCTTTGGACAAATTGTTCATTTACTTTTACTCCTATTTTGTTGGTTTTTGTTTTGTTTTTTGGTACTGGGGATCAAACTCAGGACCTTGCACTTGCAAGGCAGGCAATGGAACCACTGAGCTAAATCCCCAGCCCTAAACCAAAATTTTTATTTTTTAATTTTTTTTAGGTACCGGAGATCGAACCCTGGTCCTTGTGCTTCTGCAGCAGGCAGAGAAACCATTGAGCTAAATCCCCAGACCCCAAACCAAAATTTTTAAAGATAAAAAAAAATGTTTTCCAGTACCAGGGATCGAACTCAGGACCTTGTGCTTGCAAGACAGGCACAGCACCACTGAGATAAACAAATCCCCAACCCTAAAGGTAAAATTTTTAAAATATATCTTTGTAGTATGAAAGAATAGTATACAGAAATTTTAAATCATGGTTATGTGGATTGTGTGGTTGTATAAAAAAATTTATTTGAACTATTTAATGAAAAGATCAAACAATTATGTACAAAATTTTTAAAAAGTAAGGTAAGAACCATGGCAAAACGTAACTGCACATCTTGTTGAAATATTAGTGTTATAAACAGAACTGCACATGAACTATGTGCTGTAGAATTAATAATAGAGCTTTCTGAAACTGTAAATACCTCAATTATATAATCTCCTGGGGAAACATTTTGAAGGAGGCAGCTGGTTGTCTCTGTATTTTGTTCCTGCAAAGAAGCAAACAACACTTTAAAAACTCCCTTCTTAGAAAAAGTCATCAGGCCCCTCGTCTCCCTCAGAGCTAAAGAAAGCTTGGTATCAGTCTTGGTCACATTTTCAGAAAATGTGATTTGGTCTGAAAACAACTGTATTTCATCTGACACAAAGGATCTGAACTTCACCTTGACAGAAGGTCCAGGAGAGCCCAGGAACCACTGTATTTGGTCCTTAGCTGCAGCACGCTCAGCAAGAATACTTCATTTGAAGACAAACTTCTTAAGAGTACGCTTTACTTAGAAAAGTGAGGGAAAAACATGACTGGTCTCTGTATGTCCTTTATATGTCTTTTTTTTTTTTGGTACTGGGGATTGAACTTGGGTCCTTGCGCTTGTGCAGCAGGCTGCGAAACCACTGAGCTAAATCCCCAGCCCTGTCATAATTTTAACTTAAGCAGAAGGTCAATGAAAGTGAGAGCCAGCAGGAGACAAGAACTATGGAAGAACCAAGTGTGTACACGAGCATGTTTAAGAAGGTATTGAGTTTTGCTGCCACAACCAAAAATTTCTCTCGATGCTCTGGCAGTCCCATAAGCTTCCAGATGTGTCCCACTCTGCTAATCACCTTTAGTTTAAGATCTTGGTACTGAGTTTCTGCTTAACCTTGGCATCTGGGTAAAACCAATGGACACTGGACTGCTAGTGGCTTAGCTCTTACATTTATTGGACTTTTCTACTTCCTAGCTGCATGACCCTGAGCGAGGAAAGTGACCTTCAGAGACTCCGGTTTCCCACTGTATGTAAAGGGGGATAATAGCAGTTTCCACTTCATGGAGTGGTCAGGACTCAAGGAAGAGAAAGTTTACTGCCTGTCACACATGAGTACCTGATGAATGTTTGAAATATAGAAGAACAATCTAGAAATACTAATTCTTTTGATTCCTTGGCAATATTTATTTTCCAGGCTATTTTACCACTAACAGCCAAGGTGTAGCTAACCAGGGAATGAGGGACCACGCCAAGATGGTCCAAGACATAGCCAGTGCTAAACATCCTAGAACAATCACTCACTGCTGCGCCAACAAAGTCTAATGCTCGCACTGAGTTACCAAATCCAAATGCCCAGAAGCCACAAGAAAGCATGCAGCATTCCTAGCAGCTCACCTGCTTACAGGTCTTTCGCTTGAAGGGTCCTTCATGCTTGAGTTTGTAGTGAAGATAGAAGAAACGGAAGCCAAAGTTGTGCGGTGCGTGGTCGAAGGACACCTGCATGTCCAAGCCGTGCTGGGTGATGTTCAGGTTCCGAGGCTTCCAGACTAAGAGGAGAACAACTACAGTGAGCATGCACAGGCTGTCCGACACTCAGGGGAACACTGGCTACTCAACACACAGGGACGGCTATACTTACAGGGTTTACAGGCCAGGCTGTCCGGCTGTAACAACAGGTCACAGGCTAGTAAGAAAGATAAATATTTTTACTTTTAGGACAATTCGACATATTCCTTATGGAACAGTTCAATGAAACATAAATATACTGTGCCTGGTGCTGCTGGAAAGGGTATAAAATACATCAACTCAAAATGATTTTCACTATAATGCAGTTGTATCTCATGAAAATTTACATAGTACAATATAAGTACATTAACATAGTTCACTTTAAACCACATAAATGGAAGCAACAGAGTGACCCAGACTTTAGAGCTCCTCAAGCACTGCACAGGTTCAAGGCTGGCAGGCAAGGACAGTGGTGCGCTGTCCGTATTACTGTCACACACATGGAGGCTGTCTTGAGCTGTAAAAAGAAACAGTGCCCTCCCCGCCCCAAGGGAGGTGTCAAGACACAAGAGAACTTTAGAGCTGCCTGATATCTGTTGAGGAGTTATCTTAACCTGCACCAGCGTTCTAATTTAAAATCATTTTGAAAGACTCCAAAAAAGACAGGTTGGCATCTACCAAGTAGAAGTGTCAGTGCTGAACACCAGGTACCAAAGCCAGCAGCTTACAAATGGGATGGAAGCCAAACAATAGAGTCCAGCTGCTGTGCTGCTAACCTAGGGAGTCTCCTGGAGCTACCCAGGTAATGCTGCAAAAATGGAAAGCAGCATGGAAGCCACAGTGCCCTGAGGTGATAAACACCTGCATTGCGGAACACACCCCTGCCTCTGCCCCACCTCTGGACAGACACATTAATTCCACTGGGAAAAATAATCTTAAATTATGCTAGTGTTTATTTAAATCAAGTTTGGGCCAGGGATGTAGCTCAGTGGTTCCGGTGACTGCCTCGCAAGCGCAAGGTCCTGAGTTCAATCCCCGGAACCAAAAAAAAAAAAAAAAAAAAAAAAAAAAAAAAGTGGAGATATTTAAGTCAAGTTTTAATAAACTTATTCTTGGAATCCACTATCTAGTTATTATGTGGAAGGCAGAAATAAAATATGTGCATGCTTTTTGTCCCATGGAATCATTTTTAATTTAGAAAACAAAGCCAGACACCGTCGTGCACACCTGTAATCTTAGTACTTGGGGAGCGGAGGCAGGAGGATCACTAGTTCAAGTCCCACCTGGGCAACTCAGAGATCCTGTCTCTAAAAAATTATTTTAAAAGGGCTGAGCGTGAAGGACCTGGGTTCAATCCCCATTACCACAGAAAGGGAGGAGGGAGAAAGGAAGTCAGAGAGATTGAGAGAGAGAGAGAGAGAGAGAGAGGGAGGGAACAAGGACAGGGATGGTAGTAGACCTCATGCCTACCATGTGTGAAGACCTAGGTTTGATTCCTAGGGAGAGAGAGAGGAAGGGACAGAGAGAGGGACAGAGAAATTGTTATAAAGCAACTCTGCTGCCTAGAAAACTGGCACGGCAAGAATCCTACAGAGGAGCTGAGTATGGTGGTGCATGCCTGCAATCCCGGTGCTCTGGGTAGCTGAGGAGGAGGATTGCAAGTTCAAGCCCAGCTCAGGCAACTTAGTTCTTCTCTCAAATTTAAAAAAAAAGGCTAGGGGGCCAGGGATTTAGCTCAGTGGTTCCGGCGCAAGGACCTGAGTTCGATCCCCGGTCACAAAAAAAAAAAAGGCTAGGGATGTAGCTCAGTCCCTCCCAGTGCCACAAAAGAGAGAAGGGGATGAGGACAGGGAAAGGTGAGGAAATGGGACCCAGCATGGTTCATGGTTGAGGGTATGAACTCCAGAGCTGGCTGGCTTTTTGTTGTTGTTGTTGGTTGGTGTTTGTTTGTTAGTTTTGAGATGGGGAGGGTCTCACTATGTAATTCAGGCTGGCCTTGAACTCTTGGTGATCCTCATGCTTCAGCCTCCAGACAGAGCTGTATTTCTGAGGTTCAAATCCTAGCTCTAGGCAAGTCTTTTACCCTCTGTGTCACTACGTATCTATTAAGTATGTATGGCTTACAGATAAAACTGTATTAATATTTGGAAATCATTTACAACATTAATGTTAAAAGAATAAAACTTTCTATAAAGAGGTAGTCTCAGGGATATTAATTTTCTTAATCTAATCCTGAGACCCCCATCCTGACAACAGGTATAATATGGAATTGTTTCATGCTCCTGCCTTTTACCCTAAAAATCAACCTACACTTTTTATTGCTAAATTAAAAAAAAAAAAAAAAAATCACATGGAGATGTTGCTAGGGATTGAAGCCACAGCCCTGCACATGCAAGGCAAATGTCCTACCACTGAGCTACATCCCAGCCTACAAAAATCACTGTTCTGATACTGGCTGTTTAAATGAGATCACGGTATCCTTGAAAAACATCAATTATCAGGTCTGTCCTAGAACAAACTGGGAGTCTCTGGTTTGTCTCGGGAGGGTTAACAAAACCCACTCAATTTTTAGAAGTGCATTTCTGGATTCTTTTCCTTCTTGCCTACTTGTTTCATAGCAGCATCTGGCATGCTTTTGTGGGGAGGGGCGTTTTTGCACTATGCAGTTCAGGCTGGCCTTGAACTCTCCCTGATTCCCCTGCCTCACCCTCTGGAGTGCTGGGATCACGGGCCTGCGCCACCACACCTGGCTTTCTGGCATGCTCCTGAATACACTTCTATGGTATCTTCAGGGAAGCAGGCAGGAAAGACCATACTCACCCCAGGTTCTGAAGAAGAATGGGTGGTAATTGCTTTCGTTTTTAATGGAAGGGAAAGGGACAATCTTTACAAAGTAATCCGTTTCAAATTTCATATTCAGGAAAGGTTGAGATTCCATTCCCTAAAAAGAACAAAATCACATGTGGCATCAAGGAGAAATTATCCTTACCCCTCCACCCATGCACGAGACCTTCACTGCCACCCTGCGTGTTACTTGCACACAATTCCAGAACTGGAAAGAGCGGTCAGGTCTATTGACCGCATCAGGCCTGAGTTTAGCCCCTGAACTCTGCAAAGAGTGCTGCCTCTTCTCTGGCAAGGAAGCCATGGCTCATCACCACAGCCTCACAGCTGGCGGGAGGACAGTCGTCCCGTCCACATCGCTCTCCAGAGAGACCTCTGCAGCAGCTGCAGTAACCCAAGGTGTTTACAGGAGGTGCTGAGGAGTTTCCGTCAGCTCGGGTGTTGCCTCTCCATCCATGCCCACCTGGGGGGGCGGGGGAGACCACGACAGGTGGAACCCCCAGACCCCCTTTAATTTCAGACTTCAATAGACCATTCAGACCCCAGAACAATGGCCTGTCTTAAGGAGCACATTCCCCAAGTGCGACTCACAGTTCCTTTGAAGCTACTGTTGAGCTGCTTCGGATCCTTTAAAATCAGTTGTTGGCACTGTCTTCCCTCCGACTTCAGCTCCTCCAGTGTTACCCGAAATCCTTTTAGGAATTCAATGCCTAAGCACAGCAAAATGCTTTTATGAAAAGCAGACCTAATTACTTCTGAATACGCTTTCCTTCCTCCAAGATTACCGTCCTCTCCGCCCACACATCAGAGGTAAAGGACTTCTTACTCTGCCCAGGATACCTGTGTCCACAGAGAGGAGAAGCACACACCCTGCACTCCTCCAGGACAGAGCAGGTGACATTTTCTGGCCCGCCATTACAATATAATTAATCTGCAATCCACCCAATCAGTTCACAAATACCCACTACCTCTGTGGCCTTAGGGTTCGAGAGACTCGATCAGCACTGGTCATAAAAATGTACAAGAGAAATATATCATTTCTAGGTCATTACACAAGGTGCACTCAGCTGAGGATAATTCCTAGTGTTGACGAAGAAATGCCCCTGAACCATGTTTCCATTTTAAGTTTGAGCTCTGTAATTTTTGGCATTTGTTTCAAAGAGCGACGTACAAAATTCCCAACAAAGTGTGTATCTGCACCCAAGGGGGTTCCTAGACTTGAGATTAAGCAGCTTAGAGGAATGCTGATGTGATTTACAAAGCGGTCCTTGCTGTAATCATGCCTGAAAGGCGGACACCCAAGGGCTGCCCAGTGTGTGCTCTTCATACAGCCCTCAGTGCCCCAGACACCCACGGTGCCACTGAAAGGCACCGGCCCAGCTTCCTGCCACCTGAGCTTCCCTCACTGCACGTCCGACTACATACTTTCAAAAGGATTAAGCCCTGGCGGCCACAAGAGCCAGCACCAGCTCTGTATCCCATGGAGACTGGAGTGGTCCAACTGCAGCTGGAGATCCCCAAAGCTGGCCTCAATTGGCGACATATCGATTTCACATTCTCTCTGAACACCAGACAAGGAGACGTTTTCAACCCTTCCCCTCCCCGGGCAAAAGTAATTACACAGGATGCAATTAACCAGGTGGGAAAATTATTGATGGCAAAGGCCAGGGAAATCTTTTTCTCTTTCAAATGGGTTCTCCAATCCTGTAATTACTTGATGAAGAGCACATATTTCATGGTGGGCAGGACAGTGGACCACAATTACAGTCTCACATTTTAAGGGCTCCGAATACTACAGTGCACATAGAAACTGACTCTGCCTTGTTGTATTTCAACCACAAAGCTGAGAGGTGACAGCCAGCGGATCCAGATGTGATGACAAGATACAAGGTGTCGGAACCAACAACTATTTAGTAGGTCTCACAGGAACTTGCTTCTTGAGCTTCAAGAAAATGGCAATTTTGAAAAACAAATTCTTAGTATTTATACAAAGATTTAACTTATACAATGTTCCCAGCACTATGGTTTAGCTAAGGCCTGGTGACTAATGTGATTAATAGCCATATATCTCATAATTACTTAAAAACTCATCAGCTGGGCCGGGGATTTAGCTCCATGGTTCTGTCACCTGCCTTGCAAGCACAAGGTCCTGAGTATAATGCTGGTACCAAAAAAAGAGAGAGAGAGAGAGACAAAAGCTCATCAGCTGGAGTGGGGAAAGTGGTTGTAGTCCTTATTTTTAAAAGGTCAGCCTGGGACTGGGAATGTAGCCCAGTGGTGCTGTGTGTGCCTAGGCCCTGGGTTCAACGCCCTGTACCACAAAAAAGGAAAAAAGACCAGCTTAAAAACTACTATTCCACCTGGTGTGGTGGTGCACACATGTAATCCCAGCACACAAGATGCTGAGGCAGGAGGATCGCTGTGAGTTCAAGGCCAACCGGAGCTGCATAGCAAGACACTGTCTCAAAAAGCAAAAATAGGGCCAGGGATTTATTAGCTCAATGGTGCTGCTGCCTGCCTCGAAAGCACACGGTCCCGAGTTAAATCCCCAGTACCAAAAACAAAAACAAATAAATAAAATATTACTATGCCAGGGCTGGGGATTTAGCTCAGTGGTGCCACCACCTGCCTCGAAAGAATAAAGTCCTGAGTTCGATCCCTGGTACCAAATAAATAAATAAATATTACCCTGCCAAACCAGGGGCTGTGGGGGAAAGGCAGCAAATGTAATTCTTTTTTTTTTTTTTTGGTACTGGGGATTGAACTCCAGTCCTTGCGCTTGCAAGGCAGGTGGTGGAACCACTGAGCTAAATCCCCAGCCCCAGCAAATGTAATTCTGCTATCACAGGTACACATTTATCCTAATACTATTAACACCTTATATGTTGCTATATGATGAGTGGTAGTTTTACAGAGTAATCCCCCTAAAGGAACTTATTTGCTCTTTCCCATCATTGAAACTATTAACGTATCCTAACAACCACAGGAGGAAGGCACTATTATCCTCATTTACAGATGAGAAAACTGAGGTTTAAAGAAGCTAACTAGTTTGCCCAAGGTCACACAGGATTAAAATGCCAGAGGTGGGGTTTTGAACCCAGGAAATATCTGGCTTTCAGTTATTTCTCCCTTAAGCCAAATAGTTTCCTGCCTTCCAAGGAGTTTCCTTGCTAGAACCTGATTGAACTCGTCCATCCAACACCACCCCTAAATCACCCTCCAGGAAATGCCTTCTGCCCTCTTTTGTTCTGCTCTTGAGTCCTCCTGCCACTCACACCTTCTACTTCCATTCCAATGGGACAGCCTGAAATTCACAGGACGAAGCCCTTAACCATTTAAGCCTTAGTGCAGTGACCACTTCCCCTTTATCCACAGAGAATGTTCTTATCTTTAAATGCTAAGATAATGTTATTTTTGGAAAAACTCAGTAGTGTTCGAACTCCAAGTATTTCTGGCCTGGCTGTGGTCTGCTCCATCCTCCCTCTCCCAGCACTCTCTGCCTCCGTGCCCATCCACAATCCGGTCCCCGTGAGACTTATCCTGTTCTGCTTAAGAAATCCAAGCTTTATTTTACTTCTCCTGGCCAAATTTTGGAAAATGTCTAAAATGGCAATGTCACAAGGACACGGCGGAGACCAGGCCCTGATGATAATGGCTCCTCGCTCTGGTGGGGAAGCGCTGGACATTACTGCCCGGGCCTCTGACCACGAGGACGGTCTTACCTCCACTTACTGAACGGGAATTGAGGCTCAGGAAGGTTACATGCCTTAAGTAAAAAGGTCAATTGTAGATTCAAACCCTGGCCCATCCCAACCAATGGTCCTTTCCCATGTCCCACACTTGGCCCACCTCAGGTATCAGCAATTTACAAGAGTACAAACTATTCAGCCAACACGAATCTCGCCAGATAATGTAGGTTTGCTTTCTGTTTTTGTTTTTCTTTTCTTTCTTTTTGCCCCACACAACTTAACATTTCGATTAGTTGCCACCTTGAAAATTTCACTGATTTCATGGTTTCTCATAAAAACCAGTTTTCTTGAAAAATCGTAAAATGTGCCAATGCGGGGCAGGCATGTCTGTATGACCACAGAGACCACTAATGCTGAAGTCAAAGCCATGGCACCCTCGGGTGGGCCACAGGCTTTCCTGGCACTGTCACCCACCTGCCTCCAACTAATGAGGAGACACAGAGCCCAAGACCTTAGCACCAGTTACCACTCATACGCTATTATTTTTCAAGCCCACATCTATCTCAAGAATAGCAAGGAAGCCGGGGATTTAGCTCAGGGGCACCGTGCCTCAGTGCAAGATCCTGAGTTCCATCCCTGGTAGCGGAAAAATAAATAAAATAATAGTGAGGACAACAGCAATGTGCCATGGAGCTCAAGCTGTGTGTGTAGCCAGCAAACATGCACAATAAAGTATAAGGTGGGTGGGTCTGTGATGCATCATCACTTGGTCAGGGACCAACACAGGGATGGGAAGCAGGCAGAATCCTGGGTCATTCTCTGCTATTCACTAAAAGTATGATTTGTGGTTTTTTTCTGGGACAGTCAGAGAATTAAGTCATTTTTGCTATGAACCCTGACACTTCACTTGGGCCTGCAGATGCCCAGGAGGTAACTAAAAGCAGAACAAAGCTTGCCCCTCATTTTGTATCCTTTGTTACTGTAAATCTCAGCTCCACTACACCTGGCTCCAACCTCTTCTCTTTTTTTGGCTGGACTTGAGTTTTGATCACTTACCAAGGGCCCCCGGGGACCAAAGAATGGTGACTGCCACTTGGTCATGGCATGCATACTGGCTGATGGTGATGTTCTGGGCATCAGCAATCACGTGCTTCCCCACCGGATTCAAGTAGGTGGTACAATCTGCAGAGTTGGGAGAATGAGAATAATTAAATTTTAAATTCATCTCATCAAACAACACAGAACATATCTAAAGTAGCCAAAGCCATTCTATTTCAAGACACGTGCCTCAAAAGCCCAACTATGAGCCAGATGAGGTGGTGCACACCTGTAATCTCCGCATTCTGGGAGGCGGAGGCAGGAGGATCAACATGAGTTCGAGACTAAGTGGAGCTACATAGTGAGTTTAAGGCCAGACTAAACTACACAGCAAGACCCTGTGTCAAACCAAAATCAAAACTAAAACAAAACAAAAAAGCCCACTTTTACTTATTAAATGATTTGAAAGAAATCAATGACTGCTATGTAATTTGGGACTGTTTGTTTTCAGATGAATCTTAAGAAGCCAAGGTCACTAGCAGGCAAGGGACACGCAGATATGAACCCACAGGGCAGTGACTTAAGGTCAAGGCTGCTAACAAGCATCCTCAAAAGCAAAACTTTTGTCTAGAAGACCATGTATCATCAAAGACAAGAACAAGTCCAACTAAACCCAAAAAGCCCCCAACTGCTCCATAAACAAAACCACGCTTTTCTTTGATTTTGTCTGAGGGCACTGCTCACTGTTACCTGTCAGTGTAGCCATAACTACACAAACAGCTGCAACACCTGACATTGCTAAATACCTTCAAAATCTGTAAGTTTCCTACAAAGCTGCCAGAAGCTTCTAGCTAGAATCAGCCTGGGATCAGAGAACATCCATGAGTTGTTTGGTCATCTTTTTCGTTTTTGTTTTTTTTGAGACAGGGTTTCGGTATGTAGTTCAGACTGGACTTGAACTCACTATGTAGCCCAAGCAGGCCTCAAACTCACAGCAGATCCTCCTGCCTCAGCCTTCCGAATGCTAAGATTGCAGGAGTGTGCCATTAGCTTATTTAGCTGTCTTGCAGGAAGAACTTTCAACAATATCCAGCAGACACCAACTCATTCTCTTGTCAATGCATCTCTGTTTCTTTCTCAATGATTCAACTTGAACATCCTTTTCAGTATCTGCTCCAAAGGATCTATACTTCATCTAAGGTCCAAACCTGCAAGGGTTCGTTTTTTTCCTTTGAGGTGAAATATTTCGGGACATTTTCTAAGAAGCACAGTGAACTGGCTGCACTTTCCCCTGTAAATTGTACTGGAAGTTTCCCATTTCTATAAGTAAAATGTTCATTGAAAGCTGACTGTGGTGCCATGTGCCTGTGATTCCAGCACTCTGGGAGGTTGAGACAGGGTTCAAGCTCAACCTCAGCCAGGGCAAATTAGTGAGACCTCGTCTCAAAATAAAAAAGGGCTGGGATGTAGCTCAGCACAAAGGCCCTGGTTCAACTCCAAATACTGCAAGCAAAAAAAAAAAAAGTTTCTTGGAGACAATTGAAAACCACAAAAGAATGTAAGAGCAATGTAAAAGTCAGGCATACTCTCTTACTACCCAGAGGTACTTCACTCTCAGAGCAACCAATGTGTTCTTGGTACAGAAGAGACTTTTGGATTGGAAAGAGAATCAAACATCTGGTCCATACAAATGAGGAAACTGTGGCCAGGAGAGATCAGCTCAGGGACCTCAGAGCCCACTGCTGATCGGCCCAGGGAGAGCCTCACACTTGTGCCTACCATCAGCACACAGCACATTGCATTTACTAACATAAGCAGAGTCAGAGGTGCCCCCTGCAAAAGCTCGGACTGAGATCAGCTTCCTAACACTAAAAGACAAGATTCAGTTGTACCTGCGAAGTTTCCATATTTTCATTTATTGAGGCCTATAATGTCAGAGAAACCTCTGCAGCTGTAAAAAGCTGCACACACAAGAGCAGATCATGGTTTTCTTTCCCTTTGTTTTTTGTTTTTATAAAGAGTCTCACTATGTAGTCCAGGCAGGCCTCAAATTTGCAATCCTCCTACCTCAGCCTCCCAAGTGCGGAGACTACAGGTGTGTGCCACCACATCCGGTCCTTTGTTCATTCCTAATGCCAAAATTAACACTCTTTGGTTTTCTGTAAATACAATTATGCAAATACAAAGTCTCGGAATTAAGAAAATGTATTAAAACCTACTCAGACATAGGCCCTCAGAGCCTCAAGGATAAGCAGGCCAAAAGGAGGCAAGGAGATTTACAGAATTCAGTTGCAACTTGATGGTAAGGCATTTTCTTGAGAGAGAGAGAGAGAATGAGAATTGAAGGAAAAAATGGAAACAAAGCTATTGTACATGGAAGGGAGCAAGATAGATCATGTATTGGTACAAATTCCCTATGATGAGTGTTATCATTATGTATAACTAAAATGTATCAATAAATGTTTTGGTAAATTAAAAGAAGGAAGACATTTCTTTTTTAACATTAAATGACAGGGCTGGGGATTTAGCTCAGTGGTTCAGGCGCTTGCCTTGCAAGCGCAAGGTCCCAAGTTCAATCCCCTATACCAAAAACAAAAAAACATTAAATGACAAAATAATAGATAAATAAGGCTTTGTGGTTAATTTTGGCGAAAACTTGGTAATTGGTTTTCAGTTATTTCAAACAGAACTAGTAACCAATAAGTCAGCTGAGCATTAAAAGGAACTTCTTTTTTTTTTTTTTTGGTACTGGGGATCGAACTCAGGACCCTGCACTTGCAAGGCAGGCAGCAGAACCACTGAGCTAAATCCCCGGCCCAAAAAAGTATCTTTTTGAATGGGAAACACTGAATAAGTTTTCTACAGTCTGCATTCAATTATTAGCAAGTTTAAATTTCTGGATTCTGATTACAAAAAAATTTATGCCCAAATGACATTTTGCCAAAATGCAACTGAGCTCCAAACATCCCAGGAGTCAATGTGAGCTGTGAATTAAATTCTAATTAAACACTCTAGATATAAGAAAGAAGTGATTACGAAGAAAGAGCCATGTGGGCCAAAAAATTTAGTACAACAATACGATTATTTTAAGTTTTACAGGTATAGATCCTTTTTCCATAAAATCCATATATTAAATTAGAGGCAAATGCTTGTTTGCAGCTGACCGGAAAATTCTGAACTCTTGAATGTAATACAAGATCTGCTAAGACTAAGGGCGTGCATTAGAAATTAACTTTCTAACTCAAAGAAAGATCCCTTACACATGTCTTTACTTAGCGGAGTAAAGTATCATGGACTTTGCAAATCTTTCATTACCATCCCAGCATTTACCAAGAACATGCACACACAACCAAAGCAAACTGTCTGAGTTCCATGTGTAAGTCCTAATTTAAAACACCCTTGGCTAGCAACTGTGGGCGTGAATTAGACACACATATTTGTATCTCAAAATTGTGAAGATTACAGCCACAACCTCAAAAACCCTGTGTGATCGTTAACTGTTGTGTCAACTTGATTGGCTTAGCATAGTGCTGGGTGTGGCTGAAGGGATTTACTGAAGATGAAAATCCACCCTTGGTGTGACCACCAACAGTCTAGTAACCTGAATGGAATGAAAAAAGGGAAATGGAATACTGAATAAAAAGGAAGACTTGCTTCTGTTTTTTTTTTTCTTTTTTTGGTACTGGGGATTGAACTCCGGACCTTGCCCCTGCGAGGCAGGCAGCAGAACCACTGAGCTAAATTAAATCCCTGGCCCTTTGCTTCTGTTTCTTCTGAGGAGCTCCAGTCTTTGCCTTCGCCTTGGGCATTCATCTGCTGGCTTTCAGGGCAGACTCTTCAGCCTCCTGATACCGACTTGCATGGGCTCCACAGTGAGCTCCACCCTGACTGGATCCTCTGGCTCTCCAGCGGGTAGACAGCCCTTTTGCACCCTTCCTTCCACACCTGACCCTGCAGGCGGCCACTGTAAGCCTACCTTGAAAATCCTTGTCTATCTGTATATCTCATATTTAATGTTTCTCTAGTGAGCACTGACTGATACTCCCTGCTTTAGCAGTGATCACCCCAGGGGCCTCCCTCCATGTGACCTAAGCTCTTTACTAACACTGATTCACAACCTTCTCCAAGAGTTGAATCTGGATCTTGGGGTACTCAAATTATGACTCAGCGGGCTAAAATGCTCACAATTCTATACAATTACCTCTTCATGAATGAAACTGGATACTTAAAGGGAATTGGATACTTAAAGGTCACATTGTTAAGAGAAAGGGCAAAAATGGGTCCTTATATTATTCAATTGTTGTTAGACTTAACTTTTTTTTTTTTGGTACCAGGGATCAAACTGGGGACCTTGTGCTTGCAAGGCAAGCAGCAGAACCACTGAGGTAAATCCTCGGCCCTGGACTAACTTCTAGTATCAATAGCTAGCTAGGGCTGGGGATATTAGCTTAGTGGTTTTGCTGCCTGCTCTGCAAGCGCAAGGACCCGAGTTCAATCCCCGGTACCAAAAAAAAAAAAAAAAACCTCAGTGGTGCTGCGCCTCCCTGGTAAGCGAAAGGTAATGAGTTCAATCCCCAGCACCAGAAAAGAAAAAATAAAAAACAACAAAGCTAGCTAGTAGCTTTTACTGAGCATACAAGGTAGATCAGGTACCAAGATGAGCAAGTATAAGCAAGCATTACCTCATTTAGGCCTCAAAATAATGCCAGGAGAAGAAAACTAATCTTTTTGTTGTTTTTTTTCCCCAGTGTCTCCTGCATGCTAGCCAGGTACTCTATCAGAGCTATACCCCGGCCCAGTAATCTTTTTTTTGAGCAAGGTCAAGTCACCTGCCACAGCTCACACAACTGACAGGTGGGTTAGCACCTAGGCCCAAATCAGAGATGGCAAACTAGAGACCCCTGAGCCCATTTGAACAAATATCAATTTGGCCCACTGTGTGTGTTCAAAAAATTTTAAATGTTAATACAGTACAGTAATACCTCGGTTCTCGAACACTTCTGTTGGCAAACAATTTGGTTCTCAAACAAGTATTCAACAAAGGCCAAGGACTTAGCTCAGTGGTTCTGCTGCAAGCGCAAGGTCCCCAGTTCGATCCCCGGTACCAAAAAAAAGCATCTTAAAAGTGTTCAACAAAATTTTGCTTCCCTTCACAAATCACATCAGGTGACAAACACAACTGTGGCCATCTTCCCCACACGAAGACAAATGCAGCCATCTATCTTCCCCAGAATTGTAAAACAAACTAAGTTCATGAACCGAAGTACAACTGTACTAAAAAAAAAAAAAAAAATTCACCAAAACACAAAAACAGCAACAACAAAAAAGAAACTTTCCAGCTACCCATGGAAACCACATCTGGCCACAGTCAGTGGAAATTCCTCAAGACTACAGTGGTGGGCCTTCGAGAAGTCAGTGCCACTTTCGGACCAGACACGGGCTGCCCGCCTGGGTCTGCCACAGTTACTACCTCTCCCCAGCATCCTGCACTGGGCAGCTTTGTCCCTCTGTTCCCTTCCTGGCCCTCCAGGCATCTTCATTTGTTCCTAAGGACATAACTATGTCCTGCAGAAATCAAGGAAAGCTTCATACCTAACCTTTCTGAATGCTATGAAAGACACTTGACTTATTCAAGCTCCCAAATACGTCACTGGCTTAATCAAGAATGAGCTGCTTTAGCTGTTGACAAACCTGAACAGACTCAGAAAATTCCTCAACCCCAGGACCTGCCACGTCCTTGATTAAGCACAACTGACTAAGCTGTAGATTAGTGAAAGGGCTCCATTCTTTGCAGTTAAGCCAGTTACTTACTGTCATATCTGAAGGTGATGTTGTGCAGCCTGCTGCTCCTGCTGGCTGGCCCCACTCCCTGTGGGAAAACAAAAGAACATGATGCACACACAGCAAAGCCAATTGACTTTTCCAGCACAAATCCCACAGAGTCCAAACGCACACAGCGCTGGCTACAGAGAAGGGTCGGGCCAGCCCAGAGCATCATCTGCATCTCTCCATTACCCCCAAACACCCTCCAGCCCAAGATTCCTAACTGCCAAGCCACAGGGATCATGGGGATTGCTTCCCCCAAGATAATAGGAGCAGGCTGTTCTATGTTTGTTTGGGGGTTAAATAAATCATTAACAGTCAAAATTGGGAGAGAGCTGGAGATTTAGCTTAGTGGTTTTGCTGCCTGCTGCACAAGTGCAAGGACCCAAGTTCAATCCCTGGTACCAAAAAAAAAAATTTTTAAATTGGAAGAGAGCAGAGGACGGCCAGCTGGAGCCCTTCCAGTTGGATCTTCATGGAGCTTGAGCACTGATTGGTTGTAAAAGTCGCCTACCAGATACCCTCATTCGAAGCTCTATTAAGGCAGGGCAGATAGGCAATTCCTCAGATCTAAGGGAACCAGTTTCTCATTACAAGACTAGGACTGAGTGTGGGAATAAGCCATTACTTTTAATGAGAAAATTCTTCACTGCATCCATACCTGTGCTTGGAATACACAGGGTAGGTCATAAAAGAAAAAGAAAAAGACTTTAAAAGGTCTAACTCTTAACTTTTGGGGAGCTGACCATTAGCCATCTGCACTCTTAACAGGAGGGTAACAACCATGACAGGCTTCCCATCTTAATTACAGCATCCAGAGGTGAAGCCTCCTGCTACTCCACCTTTTCACAGCCCACTGCTTATCCATCATGGGAAAGCCAGCCATACAGCTCTGCTGACTCCGATTTAACTGTTTCTCTAATAATCTGCAAATGTGCCACTCAGTATTAATTGCAGAATTCTCCAAAACCTGTTAATTCTGAAGTGCTAAATGATGGGAATGTATTCTAACCACACAGCTAAAGTTTCCACTTAATAAGGGCAATGGCAAGAGCCGGGATTTAGCTCAGTGGTGCCGCCGCCTGCCTCGAAATCGCAAGGTCCCAAGTTTTTTTTAAAAAAAGGGTGACGGCAGGGAAACCATATGCTGGCAGCCTGTATTTAACGGGCAATTGTTACACTGAGACACAATGTGGAGAACACTTCTTTTTCCCAATACCCGGGATTGAACTCAGGACCTTGACCTTGTGCTTGCAAGGCAGGTGAGGCGGCACTGAGCAAAATCCCCAGCCCAGGAGAACACTTCTGACAGGGGCAGCCTGGGGTTTCGGCCACCCCATCACAACCATATGCTACAGGCATGTTCGTACTGCTTACCCCAAGCCAGGCCTGTCTGCCTGCCCACTGAAACCCTATCCCTGAGCTCAGATATACATGGACCTTGGGAAAGCACAGCTGTGCAGAAAGGGACACACACACGCACGCACACACGCGCACGCGCGCGTCACCCTACAATGAGGCACAACCAAGCAGTAATATAAACCTAAATCACCATGGTGCCCAGCCCCCGGGTCTGTTGGGACTCCCTTTCTTCCTGGTTCAACTTCTTTAAGTTTCGTCCTCCCAGCTTTTCTCTCACTCATCTGTAGGTCACCAGAACTCTTCACCTGGATGGCAACTTTGGAAAGTGTTGTTACCTTTTTAAAAATCTTAAAAGCGGCCAGGCTTGGTGGCCCACACCTGTAATCCCAAGCTGAGGCAGGACGATCCCTGCAAGTTTGAGGCTGGCCTGGGCTACATAGTGAGACCCACAAAGAAAGAATCCTAAAAGCATCCATGACTCTGTAAGGACAAAGCCACAGTCTGTGCAAGAGGCTAGCCATATAGCACAGACCTGAGTAACCAAGCAGGAAACTAGAAGGAGGCAGTGCAATTCCCACAGCCCTTTGGGAATGCCAGACCAAAGCCCAAGACCCCTAAACCATACCCTCCCACTCCCCTTACAAAGCGCTCCCCTTACAAAGTGCCAGAATAGGAACTCACTCCCCCTCTATGATGAGCCTGACATTATGTTAGGTACAGTGGCAAACAAAACAGCCACTGTCCCTCCTTCACAGAATAAAGTAACATGTGCCCATCCTTTCAGAGAGGGGTAACTCAATCTCAAGTCACAGCCTGGCTCTTTAGTTGGCAAAACAAGCATATGGCACTAAGGTGAAAGAGCCAGCTGCCGAGACGCACAAGACACAGGGAATGCCTCAGAGCAGCACCTGCACAAGGACAAGTGGAGAGCAGGGATGACGTGCACTGGAAGCCTAAGAGGGAGATGGATTCCTGGACAGGAAAACAGAGCAGCACCGTGGGAGGGGTGAGATGTAACCTAGAGCCCAATGAGAGTGCCTGTAGTTGGGGACCAAGGGAAAGCTGTTCCACTCCACTGGATGAGAGTTTGCTTGAATATCGGATTTCTTTTAACAGGATGTGTGCAGCTTTCAGGTAGGAGAGGGGGTTTGAGGACCACATGAAGCCATGTAGAAGGAAGCACTTTTCAAAAAGGAAACACATTCCATTTCATAGCATATTCTAAGGTACACAGAGACCGACGGCAAACCATCTTATTTGTGGAATCTGGTCAGTTTTTCCTTTGTTCCTATTTCCCTTGTATCTTTGGCTTTTGTTGTCTGTCGCCCCAACATACACTTTTGTAGCATGTTTTTAACAGGTATTTATTGGGCACTTCCAATGGCTAATGCATTGTGGAAAGGAGAAGAAGACAGTGAGATGTAGGCGGTAACCTAAATCCCTCCAAATCAGGTCCCTGTGATATATGTGGAGCTGTCAGAGGGGAGCCAGTGAGCTGCCCCAGGCTGCTGAGGCTCTCATCCACTACCCACTCAGAAGTTCAGCCTGTCCGAAGCTCCACAGGCCTGAGTACTCAGCTCGGAGCCACACCCAGGTCCTGCTCTCAAGCACTTTTGGTGCACCCTCACTCCCCTGGCCCTGGCCCTGGCCCATAACTGGCTCTGGGCTCCTCCTGACCATTTCCCAGGAGGCCCCAGCCACTTCCTTCCCCACCTTCTGATCCCCTGGAGCACTGCAGTTCCACTCAGCACAGGCCCTCACCCACAGGCACTCCTTCGGTCCTACAGTCCCCCTCTTCTCCTCACATCTCCCACACATCCCTTCTCAGCACGCAGGTCCTGCTCCCTTGGCAGCCACTGGTCTTAGTAGAGCCCTGATCACACTGCCTATCACAGTCATTCATCCCACAGTTCAACCAGCATGGCACTTCCTGTGATTCTAATTCCACAGAAAATCCCGTTATGTAGATAGGTAAGTTAATTAGATTATCTTGGAGGCAGTTAGACAGGGCCTCCACCAGCCCTCAAGGAGCCAACAGAGCAAGGAGCAACAAGGAGAACAATGAAGGCACATTCACCGGTTAGCATTATAAAAAGGAAAAGGAAGAGGTACTACTTCCTCTAGAGACAGATCGCAGGGATTGATATCCTAAATGAGAAATTCCTTGTATGTGACTTGTTCTCCCATTCAACCCCCATTTAATCAGTATTACCTGGGTGACTGCGCTTGTAATCTTATTGGTTGGTCATGGTTTTGCCCCACCTCATGCCCACCTTGTGATTTTCCATTGGGTCTTATAGTTTTGTCTCACCTTGAACCTGCCTCACCTCGTGGCTCTGCTGCATAAAAACCCCCTGGGAAATAGGGTCCTGGGCAACCCACTTTCCCGTACCCCTTCTGTCTCTCTTAGAAGCTTTCTTTCTCTCAATAAATTTTTCCTGCCCTTAACCTCCGTTGTTCCTAGAACTCATTCTTGGAGTTTAGAGAACAGGAACTCATGTTTCAGATCCTAGCAGATTTGGGAGTTACATCTCTTCCCCCTGTATCACCATGACTGACCAAGCCTGGTCATGGAGCACAGAAACAAGAGACACTATCCCAGGTACCAGCTCTCTCTGCACTCCTGGAAGTCCCTCCGCTGCACAGCTTCTTGGTTCTTGGTACATGCCTCATGGGTGGTCCTCAGCTCACAAAAATCAACACTTCAGCTGCTTCAGAGCCCTCAGAAAGCATGTTGGAAATGATGTCCCCAGGCTATCCCACAAAATGCTGCTGTTTTATTCAGTGGCAGACAGAAATGGTAGCCTCCCATACATGCTCATATTCTAGTCCTGGAACCTGCGACTATGTTATTTTACAAAGCCAAAGCATCTGTGCAGATGTGCTGAAGTTTAAAGATGCTGAAATGGGGAGCGTATTCTGGACTATCTAGGTAGGCCCCATAAAATCACAAGGGTTCTTGTGCGAGAGAGACAGAAAGATGCTACACTATTGATCTGAAAGATGAAGGAAGAAGAGGCTACTAAGTCAAAGAAGGTAAGCAGCCTCGAGGCTGGAAAGAGCAAGGAACAGGTTCTCCTGCACAGCCTCCAGAAGAAAGCAGTGCTGCCAGCACCTTGATTTTAGCAGCCGAAGACCCATTTTGGAGTTTGGCCCTGCAGAACTACAGGATAATAGGTTCCTTTCATGTTAAGTCACTAAATTCATGGTGATTTTTCACAGTGGCAACGGAAAGCTAATATACACATATATTTCCATCACAGTACAGATGAATTGAATCTACATGTCACACATGGGGCATGTGGTACTATTCATTCTTCCCTCCCATACCCAAAACCTACCACTTCTCACTGTGATCTCTCCTTCTTCAGCCTCAGACCGGCAAGAAACACTGATGAACCTGAAATGCTGCAGAGTCAGCCTTTAGTTGTGCTGTCATGGCTGCCTCTATGTCCCGAATCAATTCAAAATGTTTAACCTTTTATGGTCATTTTGACTTTGGGGTGGATAGACACACCGTAATATTTTTACAGACCTGCATTTTCATTGGATGGCACTTGGCAGCAGCATTCACAGTATTTTTTATCACACCTTATAAAGACATTCATGAAAGACTTCCAAAACTGCTTCAGAACCTGGCGAGATAAAGAGGTGAGGGAGAGGGAAAGAGGGGGAAAGGGAGAG